TTGCTGTGAGCTAGGCTAACGCCATGGCACTCACTCTAGCCAGTGCAACAGAGTGAGACTCTGTCAAAAAAAAAAAAGAAAGCTAAGAGGATAGAACCTTCTGGAATAAAGTCATGATGTACCTGGGAGGCAGGCAGAGCTATGTTGGGGAAGGATTGGCCCCTGTCACCTCTCTGATGTCATCTCCTGACACACCCTCTTGCTCACTGACTTTTAGCCATCTTGGTCTTTTCCAGTTCCTGAAACCCACCAAAGCACATTTCTGCCTTAAGACATCTGTGCTTTCCATTTCCCCTGCTTAGAACACTCCTCCTCTAGATACCTGTCTAGTTTACTTCCAGACTTCATTCAGTGCTCTGCTCCAATGTTAACTCATCAGAAAGGTCTTCCCCAACCATTACCTGCTATAACCTTAGTGCCTGGAATGGACCTGGCACATAGCGTACACTCAATATATTTGCTGAATGGATAAATGAGTGCATCAGAGTAAATGCATATGAATAAGGTAAAAAAGGAAAAGGAAGTAAAAAATTCACCTTCTCTTCCTTGTCTCTGTGCATTTGTTTTTTTTTAACTTCAAGTGGTTAAATTCAACACTGTAATATGTTCTGTTCTTCACCATAAAAATAAATTGATTAAAAAGAATTCTGCTATTTTCTATTCTTATTCCAAAGTTAATAATGTTTTATAAAGATTAAGATGCAATTATCTATGGCATTTAATTTAAATTAAAGGGAAAATAGGATTAAAATGACTGTAGTTCAATATATGTGCCACTTTCCAGGAACAAATATTTGATTCAAAGTGAGACCTGTTTATACTAGAAATCTGCTTTAAATTCCTCTATTGACAGAAGTCTACTATAAATATCATGGTAGACTTGCTCCATATTTCTACATCTTTTATTGAAATACTACTTTCTATAAATAATGGAAAACTCAACACATTTCAAGATATAATAGGAAGATTCCCACTGTTTGTTGAGTTGGAGAGCTTAAGCTAAAAGTTCTCTCACCCAAACATTCAAATTAGAACCAACAGGACCATATCTTTGTACCTCAAAGTATTTCATTCCTTCCTTTTTTTTTATTATTAGAAACAATATATTGTGAAAAGTTATATATTTCAATTACATGTAAAAATGATCTCCCCCGATATAGACATTTGGTAATAGAAAACATTAAAAGACCATTAACAAAAAAATGCCAAATAAAAATCATTTTAAAACTTGAAAAGATAATGCCATATTCAAAGAGCATTCTTTAAATTTAAAAACATAGATTGCATTAATTGTCCTATCCTGATTTTTGTTTTGTGATAAATATTCCAGAAATAGAAAAATGTCACGTATTAATATTGGTCAAATTCTCAAGAGCGCACCGAAAAACATCTTCAAGTTAGGCATTGGATACATGTTGATTTGTATAAACTCATTTCCTTTTTCTTTTTTTTTTCTTTCTGTCTCTTTCTCTCTTTCTCTTTCTCTCCCTCCCTCCCTCCATCCCTTCCTTCCTTCCATTCTTCTTTCTCTTTTTTATATTTCAGAGTATTACGGGGTTACAAATGTTTTGGTTACATGAATTGCTTCCTGTATTTTCTTAGGTATTTCTCTTTAATCACCACCCTCATAGAGTTTGGGAAAAGGCGCAGCAAGGGGAAGCACTTCCCATAGTGACACCTTGTGGTAATGGCCAACATTGCAGCCTCAGGTAGGTGTTCGCGGCGTCCCTACAGATCCCAAATGCTCTATAGCTAATCTGGCATGAGCAGCATCGGTGTAAACATTTTTGAAACTACAGGCCAGATAATAACTGTATTTTATCAATTCTAAGACGTACATTTTTAAATCTCAAGAGATTGGGATTCAGTTTATAACAAATGGCACATCATAGTTTAACCAGCAGCATTTTTCTTTTAAGGGTATAAAAAATACTGGTGTTCCTTACACTTGATGGCATCATAAAATTGATAAGATATAGTATCCACCACATATAGTGAAAAGTTTAAAGTAATCAAGACGGTAAAAACTATTAAACTAAAAATAGAAGTATAGGCTTACTAACTTCTACCGTATATTTATGTTTTAGTCTGAGCTTTTCCAACTCAAAAGAGAATCAGGCAAGTTACTTACCTTAATTCAGCAACATCGGCTTTATCCAGGGCACCGAGAGCCACAACTGCCTTGTCTAAGGCTGACAGCACTCCTTTTAGTTCATTGGCCGTTTTCTGCAATAAAAATATAAGCCCTCAAATATACATGAATGAATATAGTTGCATATTTAAATTTTTATATGTTGAACTTGGAAAATATACCTTGACATTTTTATAATACCCGTAAGTTATGTATCTTTCATGACTTAGATATGTGCACACATGCTTATACTGTTGGAAACGTGTTTTATAGTCCTAAATGTAGTGTATTTATTCAGTACCTGATGAGAAGGTATCTGTGGGAAGCAGACACTGAGTAGCTTCTGCCTTTTCTCTTAGACTCAGTGTCTTAGTATTAACAAATGTCCTTGTGAGGAATGGTCCAGTTAAAGGTAGAATTATTGTGAAGCTAATGAAGCTTAAGCTCACTTGCATAGACCCCCTTCCAAGGTTCTGGAAGGAGTTCTGCCAATATTTTGGCAGGATATACAAAAAATTTTATTTTATATATATATAAAGAGACTGGTCTCGCTGTGCTGGCCAGGCTGGAGTGCTGGAGTGCAGTGGCTATTCACAGGATCCATCAAAGCACACTACACTCTCAAATTCCTGGGCTCTAGTGATCCTTCTGCCTCAGTCTCCCATGTAGGTGGCAGCACAGGTACATGCCACGGTGCCCTGCTCATATGTTTTTGTTAAACTTGCAAAAGTAAGACATTTTAACTGCAATCAGTTGAGACTCTCTTTATACTTTGCCTCACTCTTTGTCAGGTTTTCTATCAAGTCAGGTGGGACTGCAATGGTGGTGGATATTTTTAGGATCCAGCTAAGGAGTTGAGTTGGGAATTATATTTATATTGCTCACAGTCACTTCTTTGCATAATGAAGTTATTGTAAGCCATCTAAAATAGGAATGACTTCCAGAAACACTTGTACATCCCCTGTTCCAACTTTCCTGGTAGTGTGACATTAAGGCAGATGTCATATTGTAACATAAACTTGTCCTACAGTGCCTGGCATAAGAAGTATGTGGACAGTGGAAGAGAAACAAGGTTTGCAATGTACGGATCCAGAAGCTGGTCTGTGGAAAATCTTTCCATTTATCAGATGTATAAAACTGCAAGTGGAGGGTTAGATTTTCTTTGACATCTACTCAAATTGGAAGCTCAATCCTTCATGAGCATACTCAATAAGCAGTGTATACTATTCTAAATCTACCATACATTTTTCTTCTTTTTTAGTGGGAGTTGTGTAAAATCAAATTCATCAGAATTCCTAGGTTTAATTTTTTTTTTTTTTTTTGGTTTTGTTTTAGAGACCAGTTCTTACTCCATCTCCCAGGCTGGAATCTGCGCAGTGGTGCGATCATAGCTCACTGAAGGCTTAAACTCCTGGTCTCAAATGATCTGCTTGCCTTAGCTCCTTAAATAGCTGGAATTATAGGTGTTAGCCACCCAGCAAATGCCCAGCAAAATGCCCATCAAAATTCCTGGATTTTTAAGTAATAATTACTGCATTTGGAAAGATGTTTTGGAATGTTTCACTGAAATAAATGAGAAATTTCAGATTCCTTATATAGAAATATGTGAAATGTGCCTTATTTTATAATTTTAAATTTAATTTACAAATATATAATTAAGATAAAAATTTGTAGAATATGAAATAAAAGTGATTGATAAAATCAGCAGAGATTATTCTGATATAGGGGAGCAGACTGTAGTGAAAAATTTCAGATCATACCAAAAGTGGTAATTTATTAAGAGGAAAAAATAAATTTAGAATATAAGTAATGAAGTGGCTCTTGGTTTGTTTAGTAATCCAATTAATGAAGAAGAATAAATCATATGATCACATTGGAAAAATTTAAAATTTTGCTGAGTTTGTAAGAAGTATTGACATTAATGGGAATAACATAATATCAGAAAATATTTTAATAATGAGGACACTGATGGAAAACTGGTTAATGAATGTCATCAATTCAAACAGTATGTGAAATTAACCACTGCACAAGAAATCTTGAAATGCCATTGCTGCTCATGCCAAGTTTGATAGTTATCCTAAAAATGTTCATGACATTGCCAATAATAAGTTATAAATTTGAAAGAAACTTTTAAACTATCAAAAACAAAAAACACATTTTGATCAACTATGCTAAAGATTTTTTAGGCAATATTATAAAATCATTCTCATATGAAGAAGTGATCACAGAGTATGCAGTGAAAAAATGTAGGAAAAATGTATCATAGGAGAGTGTAAGGTAGTTAATTACTAAACAATATTACTTTTCTAAATTCTGTGATATTCATAATTGTCAGCTTCTTAAATTTTGTATTTCATTGTGATTTCTTTACTTATTCTAAATAAATATTCACTTTCATATCTAATCATAGACTAGTAATTTTGTATTCTTTTAAAAAATATGGCCTCAAAATTGTGTAAGCTTCAGGCCCTAATGAACCTGGTTTTGTCTCTGAAGCCAGAGGGAAAAAAAGATTACCCTTTGTGGTATGGCAATCCCTCTTTATCAATTTCTCCACATCCATTTGCATTTGGCCTGACATATTAAAAATAGAAATTGAGCTGTACTCACACTTAATATGTTGATCAACAGTGGCACCTTCAGGTGGTTGACACAGCAGAGGTTATGGGCAACTCAGAATGAGACTCAGGTGGCATCTTAATGGAAGTGGGGACGGTCCCCATCTGGGAAGGGCCAGCAGAGGTGCCTTTCCTGTTTCCTTTATGCTCAGGACATTAGGAGGCCTTGCAGTTTATTTGTGTCCAAGTAAGCGGACGTGCCTATTCTGTTATCTAACTTGAAATAAGTTAGCTATTCAAACATGGGAAGGTAGCTTAAAAAGGTTTCTGAAAGAAACACTGGCTTGAAAGCAGTGCTAATAATGGAAGCACAAATGAGCAAGAAAAAGGCAGGCTGACACTTCTTTTATTCTTGATATAAACTTTTCTTCAACCATGTTATAAAGTAAAAAATAATGCTGAGCTAATCAAATCTAACAAGAAGCCAGCCAAAAAATTTTGAAACCACCAAGACTATTTGAAATATGTATTCACATTCACTATTATCCATAATAAACCTTGTCTTAGGTATTTACTGGGCTTTGGAATATTAGCCAATGATAGCAGCTCATATATTTAATTTATAAATAAATAATTACACAACACTGGAGTATAGGAGCATATATATATTATTTTTTTTAAATGATGTAGTTGCTTTATTGAAAACGTTTGTACATGAAGACATAAAACTCCACTCTCCTCCTCCTCTTAGCTGGAGTGGCCACTGATCAAACCAGAGTTGAGCATTTGGTAATTTGCTAAACCACACTGGCTCCTGCTGGGATTCTGACTAGAGAGTATGGAGGGTACTAGTTTAAAAGGAAAGAATTATTTAATCAACAGAAGTGACAGATACCAAATAGCTCATCCCTATAGCTGCCTGATTTCTTGCAGATGTTCCTCTTGGAGCTGAATGTATTTCTGATACAGCCTCAATGAGTTTCTGCTCATTGTAACCAGAAAGCCTGCTAGGATTTTAGATTTCTCAAGGATAGGGATCATGTATTTTTATACTTCTTACTTTGACTTAATAGTGTCTTCTGTGTAGTGGGGACTCAATAAATATTTGTTGGGATAAAAATAAAAAGTATCACTACTGCTCTTAAACACATAACAGGTTAGGGAATAATTTTGCAAATCTCCAAATGAGTTTTATTGACTATATTTTAATTTTACCTGAGCATAATCTTCCACAATTCTCACTTCTTCTGCCATAATTTCTTCATCCTGTTTAACAAGCATCTGAACTTTCTCAACTACTTGTGAATCTTTCTGTAGTTTTTCCATTAGGGTTTCTATTTCCTAATGAACCAAACAATTCTTAGAATGAATTGTAAGAGACATAATCTCCTTTTTTAAAAGAGAAATTCAAGTAGCTTATTTCATTAGTATAAAATTTATCAACATTAACCTGAAATATATTTAATAGACTCATTAGATGACTACAATATGTATCATTTCATACAAAATACATAATGATGATGAATGAGATTTTTAGAATATGCAAAAGACTGCAGGGTACCATAGATTTAACTGTCTAACTAGGGAATCTTTCTATATAAGCTTCTACAGTTAGCTATATACCTATTATCACATTTAATTATTAAAATGTAATAATGTTACTATTTTGCTGTTATTGTTTTTCTCATTTTATAGATAAGAAAATTGAGACTAAAAGAGGTGAAGTAATTTCTTCAAGGTTGTACAGCTTCATGGTAACAAAGCTGGAATTCTAGCTTACCTTTGTCAGGTATCAGAGCCTTTGCTTGATAGTCTATATTAGATAGTCTATACAGACTATATTAGATAGTCTATATTAGACTATAAAATCTTTAAAAGAGATTTCAAATAAAATATACCTTTGTTTTTTGTTCTATTTGAGGCCCAAGAATCAAAAGCTCCTCACGCATATCTGTAACTAGTGTGGTTGCTTCCAGGATCTTGGATAGACCCATATAGAAACGATCCCTGAAGGAAAAAAAAGTATTAAGAAGATTTAAGATATAACAAAATATTAGCAAACATAACTTGATAATATATAACAAGAATTGTACTGAATTATGGCCAAATGGGGTTTATTCCAAGAATGTAAGACTGGTTCAGTATTTGAAAGTCAATCAATGTCATTCACCGTATCAACAGGCTGAAGAAGAAAACTCACTTCTGTATCAATCTCAATTGATATAGAAAAAGCATTTGATAAAATTCATGACAAAACTCTTTTGAAACTAGGAATAGAGGGAAATTCCCTCAACTTGATGAAGAACAGGTGCCATTAAAAATGAAATGGACTCTCAAAGGAAAAACTTAAAAAGATAACTGGGCATCTGAGGCTCGGCCCCCATTGGAGCACACACTTAAAGACAGGCAATTTGGGCTTTAAATGTAATAATTCCCCAGAGGGTACCTCCCATTTAAACAGAATATTTAATTATAAATTTGGGGGTGGGGAGGGGGGAGTGGGGAGGAGGGAGGAGGGGATGGGTATATGCATACACAAAGAGGGCAATGCGCACCATCCGAGAGATGGACACGCTTGAAACTCGGACTCGGGGGTTGGGGGGGCAAGGGCAACATATGTAACCTAAACATCTGTACCCCCATAATATGCTGAAATAAAGAAAAAAAAATTTTGGGGTGGAGAAGAGGTCCAAATTGGCTGTAAGAGACCCAAATCACACAATTAACCATTCCTACTTTCTCTTCCCATGTCTGCTTCTGGGAAATTGGTCCACTGAAATCTGTGAATAGCAAAGAAGAGTTGGGCAGTGGGGGACTATAACCTGGTGCTTATTTTTTTTTTGCTACCTAGTTATACTTGCTGGACATGGGAAGTTACGGATATTGATGATAATGATTTTTAGGTGACAACACTTAAGAGTGTCCTGGTGTGGGCCGCATGTCAGTGGGTGGGAGATGGTCTAGGATAGTACAAGGCACGTGAGAAAGAAACTACCGAGCCACCTAAGGATGTGTCTGGGTATATGGCGTAGGTAAGACATGAGGAAGACTGAAAAAAGGGTGATTCTGATTGTGACAGGGACTGGTCAAACTGATTACATGGCTGTGAATGGAAAGCAATAACCCTGGTGGGGAGAGAAGGGACACTTTAGCTCCCAGAAGGTTAGGAGTAAAAAGGAGGGTCCATTAATCTGTCTTGACTCTTGTCTGTAGAGCATCTGGCCAATTTACCTAGACTGCTGACATCATCCTCAATTTAATGTCTGACTAACAAAAATCTTAGCCTAAGGACTCTTAGAAACCTCCCAGGAGCTGCTGACCCAGGAGTGAATAGCCTGCCTCTATTTGAAACAACAGAACAAGATTAACTTTTGGAACACAGATATGATTCCCTTTAGCTGCATTATATTCACAGACTGTCTTAACTGCACCAGATCTAACTGATGTTGAATCTATCATGTTCCACCTGACCTTGTTAACAACTTAATAAAATTAGACCCTGATTCCACATTAGCAAAATGTTGCTATTGAGGTTGCTACTACTTCTTACGTAAACCTCAGGCCTGTACTTGCCTGCCACACACAAAATAGTTTAAACTCTCCAGCATGAGTGGTAGTGAAAAATTACATTGCCCCAGTCTTCCTGCTGGCCAGCTGAGGCAGAGTATGTGCTATTGCCAAGACCTCTTGTTGTGCCTGGATTAATAACACTCTTAACTGGGTTGGCTCCAGAAAGGGAGCCTATCTGGGGTCTATCCTCCAAGTGGGAGTCACAGTCATGGTCAATCTCATCCAACGTTCCCTAAGACAAATGGAATGGATTTTGTCCGCCCCCTCCATCAGTACAGTTAATTAGGGTATCTAATGGAGTGGCCTGATTTCTAAAAAGAATTCTGAGTTGGCTACGTGACAGGTTTGAGGGATGGACTTGCAGAGAAATGGTTCCACAGTGGTGCCTTGGCAGCCTTTTACGTGTCCACATAGGTCAGATAGGCGAGCCTTCACTGCAACTGATCTAAGTGTTGGCAGAACACCCTTGATCCTCCCAGAACAGAAGAACTTGTGAGCAGATGCCACAAGGTCATTTCCCACATTTCCCCATCTTCCTGGGAGGTTATAATGAGATAGTTTCTCAACGTTTACTGAGTTCTGATAGGTATGAGGCTTTCTGCCTCAAATTTTCTCCCCCACCTCCTCAGGTACAGCTGCTGGCTATTAAACTGCTTTGCTGCAGCACGGCATGGCTTCCTCAGCAACAGAGTGTTTCACTATCTGTGTTGCAATCATCTGTCAAGGGACATGGAGAGTGGCACCATTAGCTACTCTTGCTTTCATTTCTAGGTAAGTAATAAGCTGTCTGAATCGAAGAAGGGCTCACTGTTTATGTACTGGCTGAATCTATCAGCCTTGCCTTGATAGGGGCAGCCTTTGAATGCACACAGGGGAAATACCAACTTTATCTCTTTTAAGATCTTTTGCAGCTTCTGTCTTTTTCCTCCACCAAAAAGGCAGATTTAGGCTCAACATGTTGCATTTGTGTCTCTTTTTACAAATAAAAGCACCGATATAAAATATATGTTTCTGATTTGAGCTCCAAGTCTTACCTCTTCACTTGCATCTCCTTCTCTCGTGACCTCAAAAGGTGTGCAAATGTTTCCATGAATTGCAAGTAACTACTGGGAGTGATATAGTAACGCCGTCTAGTTTCTTGAAAGTATTTTGGGCTCAAGTCTTTTATACTTTTGTGGATTTGGACACACGTTGGGGCAAGTTTTTCTTTTAAGTTCTGAAGGATAATAATTATTAAGAATTAAGAGAAAGCAATCCAAACATACATAAAAGAGAAAGTTGAACACTGTAAATAAATTGAAATATTTTATCATTTCTGAGATGTGGAAATGTAGAGAAAGGTCCTGCATGAATAGGACCAAGAAAATACCAGTCTTAATGGCTGGGATTGTGGTGGGGTGAAGAGGCACCGATACAGCTAACGATTAGTGGCATGCCAGACTCATCCTCCTGGGCTTTGCCTCATTTCTGCTATAGCTGTCCAAGGATTTAGGGCACAAGCATCAATGGCCAAGGGTTATGTGCCTTCCTTATCCTTTATCTTTTTTTCTTAAAATGGTTATTAATAGCCAGATACTCAAGGAAGTTTCTTTGAGTATGTAAGGGTCCAGAGGATATATAGGTGGGTAAAATCAGAGTAGAAAGAGTATTGTCTTTGCCTAGCTTGAGAGAGAATTCTGGTTTAAACATAACCTAGTTCTGGCTACCCATCTCCAGTCCCCCAAGCCTAGCCAATCACTGGGCACTTTTAACAAAGCTGCATTTTCTTTTTGGTTTTACGCTGTCTCTACCTCTCTTGGCCTTTGCTTTCCTTGAACACTTGGACAAGAAAGAATGCAAGCACCTTTCTAGGTCCCACATTGAGTTTCGGGCTTCTGCACATTTACAACTCCGCTGGTAAACAATTCTTACCCCTTTTCTGTCAGCTGAGGCCTATGGGCTCTCCAGTGCAGTCACTCTAGAATAGATCCTCACTGACCTGTGACTAGAATTCTGAGCTAATTTTGGGGTTGTGGCTTGTGCCCTCATTTCTCTGTAGTGTTGCTGTGGTAGCCAAGCCAGAGCAACTTACAAAGAATACACAGAAGGTTGCAGCGGCCTCGCCACAGAATTCAGTTTGCAAAATGGAGGTTGTTTTCCTTCATGGAAATCTGCTGTTCACTGTGGGGGCAGAATAGTGAAGAGGCCCAGGCAGTACAGAATCTGGGCATCTTTGAAATCGGGTGAATTAGGGAGCAAAACAGATGGGGAATTGATAAGGAGTCAAGACAGACACTTGACACACTTTATAATTTGGCTCAGAGCTGCCTGTTTTTGCCCATTTAGTGTTGATTATTGTTCTGAGGCATAGTAGTGTCAGATGCTGTTAATAAACTGAAACCTTCATTTGCATTAGATATTTACCTTTCTGTTCTCGAAATTCACCTTTTCTCTTAAGAATGAGTTGGCTACGATAAGGAGAGCTTCTTCTGGCCACCTCTTGTACCAATCGATTGTGCAGGAGCTAATCATGGAAGGATATACTCTGCAAATGTGGCGGAAGTTAGGTCCTTCAGGACTCATGATCATAAAAATATGAAGATTTTTACATACTCTCTGAAAGTACAAGTTATTAAAATGTAATCCACTGCTATGAAAAATATTATATTAAAAATTCCATTGAAAACTTATTTCAATTCTTTCCTTAATGGGTAGACTATAGACTGATCAATTGTACATTGATTGCCTGCCATAAACAGAGCCCTTCCAAGGAAACCTACAGTCCCACAGAGCCCTTCTGAGGAAAGTAGCCATGGCTGCTCCACGTGACCCCGCCTTTTGGCTTCAGCTCGATGGACCAGGTAGGGGAGGCACTGGATCCCGAACGCCCCTTATATAAATCAGCTCTTACGAGGGGGTCTGGTGCTAGAGTTCTGTTCAGTAGGGGATCAGACTATTTAACTCTTTTCTCTGGGGAAATGTGCATTTAAGACCACAGGAACTCAAAATGAGAAAATGGTCAGATGAATTAGAGCTGAAAGAAACAGACTGGCATTGTAGGTAGCACCAGAGGAGGTGGTAATAAACTCCTACAGTTAAGCAATACTAGATACTACACAATTTTACAGGCCCTAGGCTAAGTGCTAGTTTCTTTGAAATTTGCCTGTATTCCTTTTCCTCGTAGGACCTGGCTGCGCAGCTGCTGTTCCTGGGTTCTCGGCAGGACTGGCCATGGGGCACAGATTCCTTCCTCCTTATCTCCATATGTCATGTTATAATTAATCCACACCACTGGAAGCACCTCAGTGAGTCAGTGTTCCTTCTAACTCAGAGTCCAACTGTATAGAGTGATAATATCTTTAAGTATGAGGCAACCTATTTTGCCAAATAAGTATGGTAAAGCTAAAAGAAGACTAAAGGGTAAGATTTTTTTTCCTTTTTTCTTCCCATTTGTCTTTAAAAATTTATAAAGGCAAATAAAACTGCTAAATGCAAAATTCCTCCAATGTGGAAATATTTAAAGTAAAAATGAAAGTACCTCTCTTTGCTTTACCTATCCCTAAAACTCCTACCTAGAGATATCAAATGTTAACAGCTTAAAGTGTGCCTTTATTATTTATTATTATTGTAAGATATGTCAAATCATTTTTGGAAATATTATATAATATATATATAAATAATGAAATAAATAACTAAAATTTATGTCTAACTGGGATTTTTTTTTTTAATTTCTGGAATATACTATTCTACATATTCTAAACTGGAATTTCTTTGTTCTTCCTTACCACTTATAGTCTAATGAATAAATCAAATATGTTAACAAGGCATTGGAGTATCACAAGTTATTAGGATAAATGCTATCCTTCTTTCTACCATGCCATTTTTAAAATATAACTCAATCCAAGCATCAATTCCTATCACCTTGTTCTCTATCAACAATGGATTCATTTTTAGATTTTTTTTTTTTTTACATTATCTTCTTGTGACAGATTACTAAGTATCTGTTGAGGAATGGTAGGTGGCCAGGATCAATTTTTAAATGAGCCTATGAGAGACAAAAACTGGCACCAGAAATAAATTGACCTGTGGTCTGTCCCCAGTGAACATTTTGGTTTGTGTAATCATGGCTATCCACTCACTAAGCCACTGGTCAGTCATCATGCCTCAAAGACACAGAAAGCCTAGTTCATTGGTCTAGTAAGTCTATATGTCTCATCAAACCAGTTCTTTCACAGCCACCCTGCTGCTGAGTTCATTCTGAATAGCACCTGCTCTATCTGGCCAATATCATTCTGTATCCATCACCTCCAGGTCAATTCTAGGGCTACTCAAAGGGATGAAAGACTTCCTGTTTCTTATCTTTCTGGTCTTGTTACCAACATAGCTGAAACAAAAACCTCATTAGCTAGGAAGGAATCTCAGTGAAAGAAATAATCTTGGGATCATATTTTTCATTTGCTTGTCTCCAGCTCTTATTTTTTTAAACCACTGATAGCCAGTCAGGCTCAGATCCTTGTTAATCTTTGATCTACCTAAGGGTTTGGTGTGCCTGTGGGTAGGGATGGTGGTCATTATTTTAGCTTTAAAACTCATTTAAAGAACTAAAGAAATTATATCCAACTTGAAAATCATGTAGAATTATAAACATGGTCTACTTTTAATTTAACATGATAGTTTGATAAAGTCAACCCACAAGAAAGTACCTTTTGAAAGAGTGAAAGTAAAGATTGCCTATCATCCATACGACCAAACTGTTCAGGAAGAGATTTGATCTTTACTGCAATAGAGTCCAGCTCCTCATTTTCAAACAAGTCAGGTATTCTTCCTGAATTGATGATGCACTTCAAATCTTCCATAAGTGAGTCCTTCGGTAAAACATATATTTCAATCAGGAATAAGTAAATTATTCATATATTCTACTCAAATTTACCAAATGGAGAAAGCAATAGTGATTAAGAAAAACTGAGGCTAAATTTTTTTTTAAGCTAACCTCTTAATTCAAACCCACCAAAAATCAATTTTTCTGAGTCAAAATAAGCTTCATTCATCCATCCATTCATTAAAAAATTAGAGAAACATATACTGTCAGTATGCCAAACACCTATGTTAGGCACTGGGACAAGAGGTAGGGAGGGGTGGGTATAATAATGAACTGCTTCAGGCAGTTCATAGAGGCCCTCGATATATCGACATTTGTATTTGAATAGTAGCAGACAGACTAGAAATAATGTGGCTGAAGGATTACTTTAAATTTAACCAAGTTCATCTCTATATAGGGCCCCAAACCTAATGGGAAAGTAACAGAGGAGAAAAAGCAGTGAAAGAAACTCCATCAGAAGTTATTATAAAAGTGGTCTGCACAGCAAAGGAAACAGTCAGCAGAGAGAAAAGACAACCTACAGAACTGGAGAAAATATTTGCAAACTACTCATCTGACAGGGCATTGATATCCAGAATCTTCAAGGAACTTAAACATCTCAACAGCCAAAAAACCCAAATAATACAATTGAAAAATGGGCAAATGATTTGAACAGACATTCCTCAAAAGAAGACATACGAGTGGCCAAGAACTATATGAAAAAATGTTCACTAATGATCAGGGAAATGCAAACCAAAACCATAATGAGGTGTCATCTCACCCCAGTTAGGTCAGCTTTTATAAAAAATAAAACAAAACAGCAAATGCTGGTAAGAATGTGGAGAAAAGAGAACTCTTATACACTATTGGTAGGAATGTAAACTAGTACAAGTCATCATGGAGAACAGCATGGAGGCTCCTCAAAAACCTACTAATAGAATGACCATATGATCCAGCAATCCCACTGCTGGTAATTTATCCAAAGGAAAGGAAATCAGCATATCGAAGAGGTGTCTGCACCCCCATGTATGGCAGCACTATTCACAGTAGCCAAGATACATAATCAACCTAGGTGTCTAAGAACATATAAATGAATAAAGAAAATGTGGTATATATATACCATGGAATACTATTCAGACATAAAAAGAATGAAATCCTGTCATTCATCAACAACATGGATGGAACTGGATGGCAATATGTTAAGTGAAACAAGCCAGGAACAGAAAGCTAAACACCACATGTTCTCACTCATATGTGGAAGCTAAAAAAAGTTGATCTCATATAAGCAAAAAATAGAGCAGAGGATACTAGAGGCTGGCAAGGGGAAGGGGAAGGGAGAGGTGGGGAGAGATCTGATAAAAGGATACATTACACCTAGATAGGAGGAATAAGTTGTTAGTGTTCTATAGCGCTGTAGGATGATTATAGTTAAAAATAATATATTATAGGCCGGGCGCGGTGGCTCATGCCTGTAATCCTAGC